GCACCATAGCTTTTGATAAATCTGTGAGTTACGAGTTTCCTATTTTATTTATTGGTCACTAAAATTCATTACCTTATTCTATGCATCTGTTTCTCAGCTGTTATTGCAGTTGTCCCTTTCAAACTGCCAGCTGCAACTTATTGGCTCTTCATTCAAATGTTGCAGAGTCAAAAGAATTGCGACTCTCTCATAATGAGGTCACGGTTTGTGCTAACATCAAGTATGCTTTTCTATTGACTCATCACCTTACACACCATCCTAGCAATAACATATATAAGATCTTCAATTTCCAGACACTTCCAAGTGAGTTGGCTTGCAATAACAAATTGCAAAACTTGGACTTGGGAAATAATGCGATCCTGAGGTGGTCTGATCTCAAGGTATGCATTTTATTTTAGATTGGAGATTGTAGAATGCAGTTGTTTCTTCCCCCCCCCCCCCCCCCCCCAATATTACATTCCTGTTTCAAGAATTTAAGGTAACCATAATTTTTAAGTGATATTCCTGTGAACCCAATAATACCACATAGTCATAGAACTAAGTTTTTGGAGTGTAATTAAGTGGGAATTCAGAATTTATAAAGGCTCTTACCTTGATTAAGTTGGATCAAAATGAAAAAGTGTACCTTACTCAAATGTTATTATTGATATCCAACTCTGAGTATTACTCATTATTCTGACTACATTTGATCATAGGTTCTCCCCTCCTGAAAAATTTAAACCTTCTCTAGAATCCCATTGCTGAAAAGGAAGGCCTGGTGAAGAAGGTGAGCTCTGCACATTTCATGTGATTTGGATGTATACAACCCTCGCAGGCTCATGAGTATGTATTTTAGCTGTTCACAGTAAAATTGGATCTAAAATACTTCGGTAAACTAACTGAAAGATAAGCTCAAACGTTGGATCTAAAATTGGATCAAGAATTTAAAAACAATTATACTTGTTTAAAGTAGCTATCTATTAATTTTGGTAGCTTACACTTCTTAATTTTGTCTACAGGAGGGGGCGTCATGGTTTTTAGTGAAATCGTGTATACTTCCGGTGGTACTTCAAGAGATCTATATTAAGAGCCAATTGACAGATTTATATACTTCGTCGAGTTCGAAGACTTTAATTATTTGTTTTTTATATCTTAAAAAGTTGTAAATAAATGAACATGTGATGATGTGTCGAGAACTAGCAAACTTTTGCATTGTTATCTTTTGACCAGTTTCATGGATTGACTATGGAGACACTAGCTATATTATGCATTTTGTAAGTATATAAAATTATTTCAAATCTTATCATAATTTTGAACTTAATAAAATGTAGCATGTCAATGTTGTGTGTAGAGATGGAGGGGACTTTAGAGAATTAGAGGTACAATATATGGGCAACGTAAATAATTCCAATGCATTTAAAATTGTATAGGCAACGGAATGTAGACTTTCGTTGCACAAAAGACTCATGTGCAACAAAAAATTACAACACACAAATTAGCATGGACTACAATTGATAGTATAGTGTTGCACTAAAGACATTTGTGCAACATAAAATCGCAACACACAAAAGTAATTGGGGCTACTACTAGTAAACATTTGTTGCACAAAGTACATCTATAGGCAACGAAAGTAATTGATGCACAAGCATCATTATGGGCAACAAATATTTGATCCATCACATAAAGTATAATGGGCCACGATACTTAGGCTACGACCTTGTGACGGATTCGATTTCATTGCCCAATGAAATGGGCAAGGAATCAAATTTATGTAATTATTTCTAAATTTTATTTGAAATAAAGGCCTAGATATTACTAATAGACTTGTAGTTGACAAAAATATGAAAATATTTTAAATGGACGAAAAAGTGACAAAAACACAGAATTAAATGCTCGGCCCTTACATTCCCCACCGACCTAGCCTCTCTCATCGTAACTCACCTTCTTCTTCTTCAATCAATAAACGGTGATGCCCAACCCATTGAGACGGACGAACATTAGCGATTAGAGCACGAGAGACGATAGCGACAAACTCCAGTCGGCGCCACCCCCATCGCCCTGCCGCTCCATCGTAACTCTTCTTGTTCTCACTCTTCTTCGCCGTTACTTGTCCTACCCGCCGCCGCCATCACTGTAACTGAGGATCTAGGCTTCGTCATCGATGGAAGCACCACCCTGTTCCGTTCGACATACAGTTCGTGTCTCTGACTCTCTGTCCAGATCTCTGCTCCGCCTCTCCGAATAGGTTGTCCTTCAATCACCATAGTCGCACTCGAGCAGATTGGCATTGACGAGTTGACCGAATTTCTGGACGGCGAGCGACGGCGGTGAAAAGATCGGTGTTTAAGGATGACAAAGATCTGCGATTTGGTGTTTGTTAAAGCTCGGATGGGGGCGGCGCAGGTGAGCCGGAGGCTACTCTTACAGGCGGTGGTGCGGTTGGAGGTTTGGGTTGGAAGCTGGGGCTGAGGTGTGAGGCTGGGATCGGATCTGGGAGTTCGAAGCTGGGGTGGGCTAGGGTTAGTGTGTGGGACAGGGGTAGGGGCTGGCGGGGCAGAGAATGCAGTGTCACTATTTTCCTGTGTGGCCCGATAATACATGTAACTGGAGGCGGCGTAACTGGCGGTGGTGTCTCTGTAGCGATGTCACTGACGGTGATTGTGGCGGTGTCACTGATGGTGATTGTGGCGGTGTCACTGGGTTAGTTACCTGAGTTGGCGGAGGTCACTGACTAGTGACCGGAGCTGGAGCGAAGTCACTGGTTAGTGACGGGGAAGTCACTCTGTTAGTGACTGGTGTAGACGGCGGGGTTACAGGTGCCGGCGATGGTGACATCCGATGTGGTGGGGTGTGAGGCTGTGGTGCTGGGGTTGTTGCAGTGACTACAAAACATGGACTAAAAGTCAAATAAATGAAAATTACAATAATAAATGTAATAATATTATGGACTTCGTACAAGGTATAAATGACTCTTCGTCACTTTTGTAGAAAATTTTAAAACGGGTCATATGAATGTCTTTTCTGTTTATTTTAGTAATATTGATAAAAAAAAGGTCATTTTATTTTGGTCAAATCTTCCGTTAAGTTAATATGGAGTATACTATAAAAAAGGGAGCTTTACGTGCCTAAGACTAAAACTTAAGAGATTTCCCAATGTATGACCTCTTCTGTTAATTTCTACGCGTATGACTATGCATGTCATTTAAAGAATGGTCGTCGTAAAATTTTGATCATTAAAAGACTAATATAGCCTTTAAATAAAGGTAGATTCTATGGTACCCATAAGGTACCGTACATTTGTCCACATGGACCAATTAGAATCATGTAGTTGAATTATTTAAATCTAAATTAAAAGGGATTTAATGATTTGGACCAATCAAATGAATGGTAGGTACGGTACACCATTTTTTAAATGGGTACCGGAGTTGTCACCTTAAATAAAACGGGCATTAGCATGCAGTGGGCTATGGGATAAGAAAACTTAGTAGTTCGAGAGAAACTCCGACAACGTTTTCTAAGAAATCCAATTAAGGATTTCAAACAAATTAGCCCTAACTTACCAAATAACAACACCACAGCAAAAAAAAACTCCATTCATATTAAAATGTTAAATGATAAAAAAAACTCTTATGACTAAAATACCTTTATTTAAAAAATGTGCATTTTACATTATTTTGTTCAATTAAAGATAATGCACTTTATACTGCAGTTACTGTTTGACATTACTGCATGACATTACTTCACTTTTGGTAATACTTAGTATATCATTGCACTGCCGCGAACATTAGTTCTCTTCTCATTCACTTTAGTAATTTTTTTATAGTTCTTTTTTTAAATATTTTTAGATTTAATAATTTTAGTATTTAAGCCTAATTAATTATATTGCATTTCATGCGGTTGATATTGCTCTACATCATTGCACTATTTGTCATAATCACTGCACTTTTTGCCAATGTTATGACACAATCTATTGCATCTGATTCAGTGCACCACACACTTCGTCAATGCATTCCTTCATTGACCCGTGTACAATATTACATATTGTCATATTCACTTCCCATACTCAACCATAGTTATATATTGCCATGTCCACTAATCATGCTCACTACTGCCTATATTTACTGCTCATGTTTAATGCCCACACATCCTAATTTCAAAAATAAAAAAAAAAAGAAGGAGATGAATGGGAATGGAGGAGACGACTGGGCGGCGGCAAGATTGGGACGGACGTGAGGGTTAGACGGCGAATGTCGGTTCGCATAGGGACTGAAGAATGCGGCTGGGCGGCAGCACATAAGGATCGGGATGGCGGCGGCGCGCATGGATTGGGACAGCGGCTCCCATGTCTAAGGATGGCGGCGGCGGCCATAGGTTAGGAAAGTACATGTCTAGGAACGGAAGCGGGGCAAGCGTGCAGCTGGGCAGCGATGGCGAGCAAGCGTGCAGTAGGACGATGGGGCGGCCAAGCGTGCGGCTGGACGGTGGTGGCACAACTGGATTATGGCGGCTGGACGACAATGGCATGACAGGACTTAAATTTTTAAACTTTAATTATGGAACATTATTGTTAATTGATATGAATCTTCTGTAATTGATCAATTGCTGTGCAAACGTCATTGTTAATTTGTTAATTGATAGGGACTAGGGAGCTTCTGTAATTGATTAATGGCTATGCATGGGCGGCGGAGTATTATACAGTACGTAGTAATGGAACCTCCCTTTATTTTGTTTTGAAACGTGGCACTCAATGGAAGGGTAGATCTGGAACTAAATAAAATATCCGATATGTCCGATCATATGATACATGAAAGAAAGCATCATATTAGGGGAAAAAACACATGAGTCATAGATTGAGAAAGATGTTATCTTTTAATCATCACATACCATATTAGAACATACCATATTAGTCTTAAACCACTTCATATCTGGACTTGGTAGATCAAAATCATCACATCATCAAACTATACTAGATCAAATCAACCAAAACATATCATTTTTGTAATCCAAATAAAGAGAAGACTTTATTAAATTCAAATTTAAGGACAAAATATAATGGCACGGTGTATTAATAATGTTTGAGTCGTACATAAATAGCCCTTCAATTCTTTTCTTTTAAAAGATCATTATTAGGCATAAACTATAAAGGACAATCATGTTTTAAAAAAAGCACACATGACCAAAACGTTGACGAAGCCATATGCACAATCCCTAGACGAAACCACAACCCCACCTTTTCTTCCAATAATTAACAATCTCTCACAAAAAAAGAAACCATCAGCAAGAACCCTCAAATGGGCGGCGGAGACAAACAGACACACCACAGCGAACCACCGCCGATACCAAAAGGGTGTGTGGCGGTGGTTGTCGGCGGAGCGGCGGAGGAGCAACAGAGGTTTATGATCCCAGTGACGTACTTGAACCACCCTTTGTTCTCGCTGCTTCTAAAAGAAGCCGAAGAAGAGTACGGTTTCGATCACGACGGTCCGATCAACATCCCCTGCCGTGTGGAGGACTTCCGCCGTATCCGCCGTCTGATCGACGAAGAAGACTCCCGCCACTCTCATTTAACTTCTTGCTTCAAGACCAAGGCTTGAATTCTTCTTTCTTACTAATTTTTTTAGATACCCTTTATATACTACGGAGTAGTAATTATTTCTACGCCATCCTTTACTAAAAGTTGTGCATGGATGATGGCTCAGTATTTGATAATATAATTGAAGGTGATTTCATCTAATCACATGTGTGTACAGTTGCTTATTAGAAATTTATTTGTTCATACATGGAAGAATTGCCATGGTCCATGGCGATGATGACGATGAAAATGAATGACAGAATTAGATTTAGCTATATTAATTTATTGCTATATAGTATCTGCTCAATGTTGAAATTGTATGCCTATTCTTTTTTTTGGACAATTCTTTCTAACCTATATAGTATCTGCTCAATGTTAATGCCAACATCATTGAAGTGGGATGAGATTCGAACTTGTGACCTCCTCCTTTTCTTGACCAAAGCCATGTCACCTCATTTTGAAGTGGTTTCGGTGGTACTTTTTGTAGATGATATCCACCAAATTTGAGCAAAACATTCGATGGGCAAGGCAGTCAAATGATTTTTGGAAGATAACTGCGTGTAATATGTATTTTTTGGCACAATAATCTTCCAAAAATCATTTGACTACCTTCCCAATGAATTTGTTTCTCTAATTTGGTGGAGATCATCTACACATAATGAGGAACGTGCTCAAGAAATTTGAGCAAAAAATATCACCAAGAACCACCTCAAAACTAGGTGACCGAACGGGGCTACAGTCAAGAAATTCATGATCGGAATATAGTTTATAGTTTATAGTATATAGTCAAAAAAGATCACAAGAAACTCCTATATAGTTTATAAATTTTATAGTTTTATAAAAATATTTTTAATATGAAACGTTTTAATATATACTACGTGCATGAATTATAAATATTAATTGGGATTACCAATTTAATTAAATGTTACTTTGTTTATCTTAACCATCCTTTTTAAAAGTGTAGTGGGTCAGGGGAAATATTGAAAACGACAAAGAAATTAATGAATATACAAGTTCCATTACTCCGTATTATTTTCGATATATGTTCAATTTTTGTTATGCAAATCAAATCTTCACCCATAAGGCCATAAGTCCATAACTTCTAAATGATTGGTCACAACTCACAACTATAACCGTGAATCATGATATATAACAAGTCAGCACGTTTAACGTAACCAACGGTGTAGACTGCTCACCTATAAACTCCTATGTAGGAGTCAGACACACTGCCGTCCATTATCGGAGTATCAAGTTATGTAACATCATTGTACAGAAAAAATGATGATTTTGATAACAATGATTGTTAAAAGTTCTCAATTTGGAGTTTGGTTTGACTTTTCAGCCTTTACGAGTGTTTGACCAAACCTCTTTGCATGTGAGGTTATAGAGCTTGGCATGGATCGCACGTTAGAACTGCGAATATTATTATTGTTGTTTTTCTTTTACTTTTAAGGTTGAGTAGCTGCGCATAATTTTGTCAAACGTTACCTTAAATGGAATGATCTGTTTAGACTGTTTAGCTCTTGTTGGTATTGAATAAACAAGTTCTAATATAATACTTGTCACACTAAATTTTTAGGGTTGGTCAAGTTTCGATATGATCGACATTGATATTTGAAGAGGTGTTTGGTTGGAGGATTTGGAAAGAGGATGGAATGATAACTAAAGTCTAAAGTGATGCTCTATATAGGAAAGAATGAAAAGTGAAAAATAGTGATTTAATTCCCCGCTTTTGGTTAGAGTATTTTTGGGAGTTTGGATAGAGAAAATTACCACTAATAATATTACTAAAACTAATGAGATTTTCTAAAATATATGACTACTTATGTTTTTTTACTAGAATGATATCATCCATTTATGCATGTGTTAATACCCATCCCTGTTTTTTAGTCATAAGTGTATAGCCTTCTATATCATTCTTGTTATTTTTATGCAACTTGGAGTATTCCATTCATTTTAATCCTTAATAAGTAGGAATTGGAATGCCTAATTTGGCTAATAATTGGAATGCCCATGTATGGTCATACCCATAAGTAGTAAGTCATACCCAACATTAAAAAAACATGTATGGTCATATTCTAGGAACACTAATGAGTATGAGTAATATTGGGGTATTTTTCAGTTTGGATAAAAGGAGATGAAATAACTTTGAAGGTTAGTTGTAGGGGAGTGAAAAAAATCCTTTTTCCTTGTTCTGGAGTCATAAATAATTGAACTTATATTTATTTTAACTTGAGTTAAAATTATCATTTTGTAATTATCCTTCAAAATCTTTCAATTTGGTTGAATTTGAAAATTGAGAACTTTGAAAGTCTAAAAAGTCACAAGAACCTTTCATAATCGTTACTTCCAATTTTTTAAATTTTAAAACTAGAAAGGATCATAAATATATAAACCCTCTTCATCCTTCTCCTTCCCTCCAAAACATAATGTCCAAACGTACACTTATGGAATAAACTCACCCCACAAAAGCAATAATCAAATTAAATACTGTCATTCGATCTCATTTTCATTTTCCTTACGTTTAACAAGCTAGCATGCCATACATGTGATAATGGACGACGCACGCTGATCGGATTCAAATAAGATAGATGAAGATTGTTTTAACAAATGGTCACGGCGAAATAGTTCATAAGTTGAGTTATTTAAGTACAATATCTTAATCATGTTTTAATCGATACAACAAGAACGATTAAGACATAGTCGTCTTAAAAGATTTTAGAATTGTTAACATAAATCGATACATATTATAATATTAGTTAGAGCCTAAAAGGAAAAGAAAGATCAAAGATAAAGTAAAATAAAAATGATATAAAGGATAAGTGTAAATATAAGTTATAGATAAAATAATAGAATAAAAAAGAAAAAGATTATATATATAATCTAAAAACATTATAATTGTGAATGTGGGTTAATACCCCTTGAATTATGTCCATCTCTTATAAGCATAAGATGTTTTACATTTTTGTTAAATCATTGTACTTATTTTTTCCATGGTTTTAATGCCCTTACTCCGTTTATAATTTTAAGAAGCTAGAACCGTTAGCACTTAAATGCCTCTACTCCATTAAGAAGGTTAAACTTAAGAGCATCTAATTTGTATGCAACCATTCTTTAGAGGTTATAAAATTTATTGAGTAATTAACATTTATTTCTTTCAATGTCATTTAAATACTTTTTGAGTCTTATTTATTCCTTTCAATATCCTTTAAATACTTTTTGAGTCTTGTAGTGATTTAGGTAGTTCAATTCTTAAATTCCAAAATTAAATTAGCTAAATGTTTTTGAAATGTTGACTAAGAATAAAACAATACTCCCTTTTAAACACACATATGTATGGTGTTTCAAAAGAATGAGATCTTTTTTTATTTTTTGAGCGAAGTGTCACATTGTTAGTAAATTATAATTGTCCAATTTTCCACTATATAATTATGTGCTCATTCTAACTTAGTTGATCACAATTCTTATTTTTCTACACCTTTAGGTGTTTGCTTTTATAATCCACTCTTACATTAGTAAAGTAGTTATTTATTGAAGGAAAATTTACTTTAACATTGGGCATATGATATCGCGCCTTACGCGATCAAACGTCAGTAAAAATGATAAATGGGTAAAGATTAATGAACCAAAATAGGTTATATCATATGATATATTGTTGCTTTTATGTTTGCGTATTACTTTAATATAAATTGTTTATTAGAAGTGCAATAAATAGTTAGAAACTCCGTATGGGGTTAGCTCAAAAATATTACTCCCTCCGGTTCTTAATTAAGTTCCTAGTTTGACTTCACACATATTAAGAAATAAATTTGACTTTACTGTGGAGTGCACTGTTTGAACAGTGTTTGACACTGTTTGGCACAATTTTGGTGTAAATTTTTTGCCAAATAAGGAAAGGTTTGAAGTAGGAACTTTAATATGGATCATCCCAAAAAGGAAAGTAGGAACTTAATTACGGGACGGAGGGAGTACTAATTAAAAGCATTTGGACAAAAATAAGTCATCTTTCAATTATTACCAAAACTGTGACCATCAGTATGATTAATGAGTAAGCTTGGGATAGAAATGGTCAAATATGCCCCTGACTAATTAATTGATACGCACAAAACCAATTAACATGCATATGTAGCTTACTTCCTAACCGTTTCTCCCGAATGTAATACGTAGTAGGCAAGTCACAAAAAATTGACTTTTATATCCTTTCCCAATTAAATTTAGTTAACAATTTACGGTTACTTGATCCGATCCGATTTTCAAATAATTATAATTATTCGTCCGACCAATTATAAATTTATAATTACCGCCACCAGTTATAGTTACTCGACCCGACTAGTTACAATTATCCGACCCGACCAGTTACAGTTACCCGACCCGACCCGACCAGTTACATTTACCCGACCCGACCAGTTATAGTTACCTGACCCGATGAGTTATAGTTACCTAACCCGACTAGTTACAGTTACCCGACCCGACCAGTTACAGTTACCCGACTCGACCAGTTACAATTACCCGACCCGACCAATTATAGTTATCCGACCCGAATTGTTCTAGTTACCAAACCCGATTAGTTACAATGATCATGTACCGCTACACAACCCGACAGTGACCGCCGCTACCGCCAACCTCTGACCACTGACACCACCCACTATCTCTGGTCACCGGCTCCGACCACATCCTCTGGACACCGCCGTCCACCACCATATCATATCTCCGGCGGCCAGCCTCCACTGTTGAATGACTGCAGCTGCCCCACACCAACTCCCTCCCCAATCCCTGTCCAGATCCAAATCCCACACCAGCCCCAACCCCATCCCAAACCCATGTACAACCGCTGCCAACCCCCCACACCCCCTCGCACACCGGAAGCGCCGACTGGCAACGAGATGAACCGCCGCATCGCCGCCCTAGCCGCCTCTCTGTCCGAATCAGCCACTGTCTAGAAACCCAAGCCACATCGTCATATCTTCGCCATAGCCAGAACCCTAGCTAGATAGCGACCAAACAGAAAGAGTAGAAGAGGAGATTGGAACAGATGTGGCATCGGAGATGAAGACGAAGGGGCATCGTCAATTTAGAGAGAGCCGACAACGGAGATGCAGACCAAGGCGTACACGGCGATGCAGACGGGGGCGGTGACGGCGATGCAGACGGAGGCAGTGACTTTGATGCAGACGGAGGCGGATCTGGCGGGAAAGATGGCGGCGGCGGCTGCCAATGTTGAATGGTGAATTCCAATTCATTTGCTGCATAAGATCCGCTGGTGGAGTACTTTAGGGCAAAAATTATCAAGGGCATTGAAGATATTTCACACCTAGATTACTATCATATTTGTCCAAACGTGTGTCTTTTTTGGAAGATCGAAAATCAGTCCTAATTTAGTCTTTAGGTCTTCAGCAGGTGATATCCGTGTCATTATTTCATTCCAATTCATTGGCTGCATAAGATCCGCTGGTGAAGTACTTTAGGGCAAAAATTATCAAGGGCATTGAAGATATTTCACACCTAGTTTACTATCATATTTGTTCAAACGTGTGTCTTTTTTGGAAGATCGAAAATCAGTCCTAATTTAGTCTTTAGGTCTTCAGCAGGTGATATCCGTGTCATTATTTCTATATACTAATGATGAGGATGATTAAGTGAGAAACGATCTCCTATGTCCTAACTACCGGAGGAAGTGATGCGTCCGAACTTGTTAAAATCAAATCACAAATGGATAGTCATGTGCTCAGTTCTCTCCGCTTCGGTGATGCATATAGGATGCTCTCGTTTTTCTTACAGAGTATTATAAAATTACATGTAATAATAAATTTCGATAGGTAGAATCAGTTAATTCAGTAATTTTACAATTACAAAACTAAATCCTAGTGGATATATGATAGTCATAGTGCATAATTTGATTCTTATCAGTTATCCCATTATTATTGATATGTTCCCTCCTTCAAAGCAATGACAAGGAAGGTTTGTTGATTGGAGAAAAATGATGTACTTACAATTCAAGTCTATTCAACATGTTTTATCTGTATAATATAGCAATCCAAAATAAATACGTTAATGCAAAAGCAATCAACATTATTCCAAGGTTTATCTTTGAAAAGTGAGATTTTCTTGCCACAAATTTTATACTTCTATGTTTTGAGTTCACGATATAATTCAAAACAGAGGCATCATCCCCTTCTTTGTGCCCGACTATTGTTCGAGCATGAAGTCAAAATCACATTGGATCAAATGTGGAGTCCCAATAGGATAAGAACAATCACACTTATCATCTCGTAAATTAAAAGGCTAAAAAAGAAAAGTATGTATATATGGTCTGTATCAAAAAGAAAAGTATGTATCATACATACTCAATGTGGAGTTTGCTTTAAAGAGTTGGAGTTATCGATTTGTGGATTCCTTAGACACTTGAATATGGGACGATTCAATTACAAAAAGGTGAAGGATCCCATGCCTAAGCAAGAGAAAAAGGCGGATAAAATACTTGGAGAACATTATAAATGTAAGACGTCATGTTTTGAATTAGCTATACTTGACTTTATTTTCTAGTGAAATATGATATTATTGTGACAATCATTTCATTTCGAGTAATATTTTTGCGACAAATATAAATTTTATAATTTTATGATAATATTTTTAACAAATAACGTTTTTTATCATCTTCATATAAAAAATATTTTCATACATGCATATATCATTAGTCAAAGTTTATCATCATTAACCGCGAAAGTGAAACATAACTAATTAAAAAGAGTTGAAGGGTATGCTTTAAAAAGAGACTCATAAATGAAAAAACTTATACTTCGTAACAATTTGCAAGAAACAAATTATCGTGCTATGTGACCCACATGCAAAATTGCAAATAGGAGTGTGGTGAACATCACTTTCTTGAAAGGGGACGAACAAAATCGCTTATCGTGATTGGGCTTAGCAGGAGGGCCATCAGTGAGTCGAGCCCAAACATCTAGAGCTCGAGTATGAATTCTAATCGCAGTCACTCATTTACTAAATACAGTCACAAATTTTCTATAATTCCTGTTATATCCTTATCATGTAATCTAAAACGGCCGGTAGGTTACCCAAAGAACTGGATGTCGCAACCCCTCTAACCTACGGAGTATTCATATTTGAAAGTTGAAACTTTAATACTCGTAGTAATATCCTGCCTCATTCTGGCTCTAATTATTAGGCCGTATGCATTTGGTTGCTTACTTAAGGTCATCGAATCCTCATAGCTCACATACAGGGGAGAAGAAACTCAAAATTCATTATGCCTTCTTGTTTTGATTGTCGATGCCTCGTAGACTATGTTGTCGGCAATCCATGAGACGTGACCCAGGCAATATATGCTTCTGTTGAAGACAATCATCGTGCGTGCGTGTATTTATACTTTTCACCACAACAGATACCTTAGCTCTTTGATCAACGGCTTGTTTCTTACAAATTCTTTTTCTATGATTTTCCAAAAAATTCAAACAACCTCTTAGCCCCTTCATAACAGTGTTGTTACCTTGATGGTCTCCTCCTCCATCCAGTTTATCAAGCTGATGTTTCTGCCTTACAACGATGGTTAATAGCTTTCAAGGGAAATTTAGATATTTGAATATAATGATTTAGTGACAATAAATAGCAATTTGGGGGCTGAGAATAGAATTACTCTTATTTGTGTCAGGGTTTGAATTCGAACCTCGACAAGATTTACAAAGAAGACCCATGATCGCCTTATTTAATATTCGAATCGAGCGCTCGATAAATATGCTCGAATGTAGAAGTTTACTAAATGTTCCATATGATCAAGTTCAAACAGAATCGAACACTCGAGCTCAGAACAAATAAGAGGCCGTTTTGTAACACTGTTTTTCGGCTTATCAGACTTATCAGTCAACTTTTTCACCAAACAAGTAACATCTGTTTTTGTGCACTGAATTGTCTGATAATAAGAAAAAGTAAGGTTCGGGTTACTTTTCTGGCTACATTGGCTGAAGTTACTGTCGATAGGCATTTAGCTATTTTTACATATATATTTTTCTTTATTTTATTAATAAAATACATTCTAAAATTATTTTTCATAAATCATCGAATCAGCCAATACAGCCAATTCAGTCAGAATTTCATAAATTTCAATACAATCAAGTGATTCAATTGATTTTTGTATTACCAAAAGGAGTCTAAATATTGGAACTTGAAATTTGGGCCATGTTGGCATGTTCTAACGGAATTGAGTATTACATTGTAGGGGTGGGTCGTAGAAACCGAAAACCGAAAACCGAATCGAAAAAACCCGAACCGCGACCAAACCAACCGAACCGCAAGAAAACCGAAACCGAACTCAAAAAACCGAACGGAAGCATAGTTGTTTTGTTTTGGTTTTGGTTATCACATCTCAAAACCGAACCGAATAAACCGAATTTCTTAAAAGTTGTTATTTTATTTATTAATCATTAAGTACAATATTGTGTTTAGTTCTTAATTCATAATTCTAGAAAAGTAATATTTGATACTAGATTTATTATGCTTTGCAAGATATTGACATTTAATATTTATTACTTAATTAAGTGAAACATTTGTACATACACTTAAGTCTATTCCTATAATACTAATATGTTAATATTTTAAATCATAATTTACATTTTGCTTGTTGTTGCATGACAATGATACTTTGTTGATATATTATATGTTATGTATGTTTGTTATCACATAATTTTATATATTAAACAAATATGTATTAATATAAACTATACTTAAAATAACATAGCAGAAAATGTGAACCTTTAGTGATAAATATATCTATCTCAAAAAAGTAGATTAAGTTATTTACTAATAATATTTTAACTTGTGAATAACTCATGTGTTTAATTAATTTAGAAAATGTTTAAATTGGTATACACGTACTCTCTAATTCATTGTTTGGAAGTGCATTTGTTTCTTCTCTCTTTTTTAATTATATATGTTTTTGTATTGTATTACTATTAATAATAGTTTGGTGTAGTTTATTTTTTTGTTTTTGTTTTCCAATTACTATTTTTCTAATCAACAAAAATACTTTGGTAAAAACTGGAGAAACCGAAACCAAACCGAATCGAACCGAACTTTTTACTTTGGTTCGACATTTGGTTTTAGGTGAAAGCCGAACCGTTACATTGTTTGAGCTAGCACAATTAAGTATTTGAAGTTAAAATTAAGGCGAAAATCGAAAATGACATACTTCGAATTGCGGGGTAATGTATTTTGTCGATTGCTGGAACCTGGAAGCCTGGAACTCTGGAAGTATAGAGATGACTTCAAAAATTATTTACAATTGCGGGGTCATAACACAATTTTGTTCTGGTCAATTTCTATTCCCTTTTCCCCATCTGTGAATTTGGGGATCGACTAGCCGTAGAAGATAATAATGCTTGGATACGTGACTAAAGTACGTCTGGCGTCGTTCTTTGCCGGCGCTATGACGTCGTCGTTCGCCGGCATGTACCTTCTTCAGCAGGATTACAAGGCTTGCCACGAGTCCATCACTCAACAGGTATGAACCAGTTCCAAACCCTAACTCTGTATTGATGTCTAATCTTTGAATTCCCTTTGTTTTATTTGTAAATTTCCGATCTTCTCATATACGACTATCGAAAGTTTGGAAATTGTTGGATTTGACTTGTGTATTATGTGGCTCTTAGCTGATCTTGCTTTATTGCAGTTGAAAGGACTCCACAGATCGCTTGATGATCGCATATCTGCTCTGGAAAAACAAAAGGAGATTGATGCTGCAAAGCACTCTGAACTTCCTGAATAATAGATAAATTTCTGTACTTTGCTGGCTTCAGCTTCACTGATAATTAAACTTTTAGGTCTGCACTTAGCCACTTACTGCTAAATAATGTCTGCTAAAATGTACATCAAGATGCTTATGCTTAGACAGAAGTACTTTCATGCATAGTTACAGACTCATTTCTTAACAGAATATAGTGAATTTCTCATTTGGATTCTTAACAGAATGTGGTGAATTTTGCATTTCGCATTGGAGATGCTCTTAGTCCTCTTACATTTACTATGACATTTGTTTTGACTGTGAATTTTGGTTTTCAATTCGTTTCATATTAAGTTTTCATTCATTTGATTCAGCATGTAGTTTTTATTTTGAACATTTCTTGCATAGTTATTGTTCTTTTCAATCTATATACGTATGAGTTTTGCTAGGTGAACACGCTATTTTTTAATAATGAGTAATAACTAAGAAAGTGGCTATCTCTAGGTAGTCTAGGGGCGGTGTAAGGAATTGGTTCAGTACCGATTTGCCTTTGTTTTTTAGTTCTAGTTTTCTTGATCGCTACTGCATACCAGAAATAATGAAATTGATGTTTACATATACCTACCTACCAATTTGACATATTTGTAGAGAGACAAGAGATTAATTTAACCCCAAGCCACCGCACACATAAAATTCCTCAAGCACAAATTTAGTCCAGTCATTTTTTTTTTTCCTTAAAAAAATGACTGGACTAATTTTGTGCTTGAGGAATTTTATGTGTCCAGTCATTTATTCCTTGCATTTCGGCATTTCTACTAATATCATGTGTTTGCTCGGGGGGAGGGGGAGGTGATGAGGCCCTGAATTTACTTTGTGAATAACTGAAGATGAAGATAAACCTTATTATAATGTGCTGGTTTGGAAACCCAATTCTTTACTTATCAGCAAGATGTTTATCATGAATGGATTTTTATTTTTTGGATGGTGGATTTAATAATTGAGCAGCAATAAAAACAAATATAGTTGAAATTTGCAGTAATCAAAATATTGAGTGTCCATTTGTAACTGGTTTTTGAATTGTGGAATAATGGAAATGAATAAGATTGTGAGTACTTTTTGGCTGAATTAATTCGATTTTCATAAGAAGATAATTTTTATTTTTCATATCCATTTTCTTTATGTTCTTAATAAAATATGTTAATGATGAGTTAAGGAACATGGGTTTAGTGATTCTAGAGAGAAATTAGAGCAAATATAGAGTGACAATGTTTGATAGCAAAAATGACAGAGTAATCGTACAAGAATTTCAGTCCCCTCTCCAAAGGGGAAAGACTGCTATTTAGAGGCAAATAGAAGGGTTGGGCCTTAAGCCCAAAAAGGCTAAGCTAGTCGGAATGCTACGCGTGTCTCCGCAACATTTGAGGAATAATTTTGTTGATGTCCTACTGATATAATCATTGGTAACTGATTGATGATATCGTTGATGGTGTAAGCAGAAGCAATTGCAAACACTCCATAAGCCCTTTTGGGAACTGGGTCTGTGACGTAAGCGGGAGTGCCAGTGGCGTAACACGTAAGTCGCGGATATGTATCTTGTTGGACTGCTCGGGAAACTGTTAAGTGTCAAACCATCACTGCGCTGAGGTGGATCAGGTCCCCTCAGGCTCTTTCGATATTGTGAGCGGCATATCTACAGTGAAAGTCATTGGGCTCAGCACTGTCGCCTCGCTAGAATAGCATGGTCAGGAGCAAACGGGCCTGCCAGCGCAAAGGTGGGCTAGTGGTGAGATCTTAGCCTCAGCACAGGGCCTTAACCTGACTGATACATGACTTGGACTGCTTGTTTGGGCTCCTGAGATATATGGCAACATTTCCATCAGTTATTCGTACTTCGTAATAGAGAAAAATTCAAAATTCACAAATAGAGACTGATTTAATGTTAGGTGAGATCTTAGTTGGTGATTGATCTTGTATCTTGCTTTGCTTTCATAGTTGTGATTGGTTGGTGATTGATCTGGTATCTACCTTTCATAGTTCTGATCGGTACTGGTTGATTTTGCAATCCCTTCGCAAGTTGTGGCTAATATTGATGGGACTGGGCCATTTGGCGTGAGGTCATTCACATGGAATTCAAGCACAAAGCAACCATTTTGATTCCCCCCACCCCCCAAAAAATAGCAGCCATTTTGTCCAATCATATGTACGAATATGAACCCATATTTCTGTTATTCGAAAAGGTCATTACCCTGTACACTGATACATGTGCTGTGTTTCCCACATTGAATCCTATGGAGTACATATTAAGTTTCACTTTTTCTATAGACCAATATAAAACGCAGCATTATGTGGGAGGCATTCACACACACACACCCCTCTTTAATTACTCCCTCTCTGAATTAAGCTTCACTTTCTTTTTTGGGATGTCCCTAAATTAAATCTCACTTCTTTATTTGCATTATTTGATAAACAAATCTATATCGAACAATGTCAAACGGTGCAAAACTATATCAAAATAGTATCAAAACAGTGTACTCTATAGTAAAATTTATTTCTCATTAAATTTGTTTTCTTAATATGCGCGAAGTAACACTAGGATGTTGCTTTAGGGACGGAGGTAGTACTTGTCTACTTTCTATGTTGAGCTCTTTCAAATTAATTTGTCCAACTCCCATTTTTCGAAAAGAATTGACACTAAAAGTAGGGGTAGAATACTTTTATATAGTGTGTAGTATTGCTACAGTACTAAAAATGTCTACATTTTCACACTACAATATTTTTTTAAAATGACGTGAAATACTTTCGGAGACATTCAATTCGAAACGAAGGAGTACTTCAGAGTCATGTACTCCTAGTTTTTAAGTTCCATTTTCTTATGTCTGTGTTTCGTATTCGTCTCGAGGCCTATGCTACATTAGATATTGTTGACTAAATGGAACTACACACATCAAGGGTTCTTGTGGTGCTCACTACAAAAAAATTTGGCTGTAGTCACGGATTTAGTCACGGACCACAGTGTAAAAAATCCGTGACTAACTCATTTAGTCACGGATTCTGTCCGTGACTAATTCCGTGACTGTTTGGGCGTGACTAAATTTAGTCACGTCAAATTGTCCGTGACTAAATGTAGTCACGGATTAGTCACGGACCAGATCCGTGACTAATTTGTCACCGGAATAGCTGCTCCGGCACTTTAGTCACGGCTAAGATCCGTGACTACATTTTTAATTTTTTTTTTATATTAGTCACGGACACGTCCGTGACTAAGTATTTTTTTTTAAAAAAAATCGGCCATATTAGTCACGGAAATATCCGTGACTAAGTTTTCAAATTTTTGAAATTTTCAAAAACCCGCGTTTCCTTTTTTCAATGTTTTGAAATTTCGTATTAGTCACGGTCATGAATCCGTGACTAAATTTTTTTTTTTTAAAAAAAATAAATTTTAAATTTAACAAATAATTCCGGACTAAAAAATTAGTCACGGCTCAGATCCGTGACTAAATGTTTTGTTTTTTTAAAAAAAATCTATTTACAAAAACCAAAATTAAAACTTATTTCAATTGAACTGTTCGTAGAAAAACTTTTTTAAAACTGTTTAATAAAAACAGTTTTTAATAAAACACAGTTTAAACATTTTTAAAACTTTTTTTAAACTGTTTAAACACTTTCTAATAAAAAAACAGTTTAAACTTTTTAAAAACTGTTTTTTAATGTCTTTAATAAACACTTTTTTAAACTGTTTAATAAAAAACTGTTTATTACACTCTTTTTAATAAAAAACAGTTTATTAAACACTTTTTAATAAAAACCCGTTTTTTATTAAGCAGTTTAACAAAAACTTTTTTTTTATTAAACTGTTTTTTTATAATCTATATTTTATATTTTATTTCAGAAAACTGTTTTTAATGTCTAAATTAATATTTTATAATTAACATGTTAAACTTTTTTGGAAGTTTGACATGAGGGGGTATTTTTTTTAAATAATTCGGGAATAATAATTTTGATAGATGATAAAAAACAATAATCCTAACAATGTCCAAATATTTCTATTTAGCATGCTTCATTCTAAGTCTAAAAATTAGTCCAAACTAACCTAACATAATTCAAGAATAAAAGAAACACATAAGGCCGAAATAAAAAAAATAAAAAAAAAAAGGTTTGAATAATCATGCATGTTGTTTAACTTAAAATTAAATCATATTTTGGCATACATATTAAAATTATTGAACATATAAAACATGTAAACTAAATCATGTATATAATCATGCATTTGAGTGTATTTCAACAAAAGAGCATGCACTTTAATAATAACATGCATTTTTGGAATGAAAATCAAATACTAAAAATAAGAATGAAAAGTAATTGAAATTTAGAACACATAACCTTGATGAAGAGGACGGCGAAGAGTCTTCGACGGAGGTAGCTAACGGAGACCGGCGAAGGACGGTGGCGACGGACGGTGAAAGCGGTGGTGGAGGTCAAAGGGTTCGGCGGACAGAGAGAAGAAGTAGAGATAGAGGGAGAGTTTTAGGGTTGGGAGAGTGTTTGGAATGAAAAATTAGCCAAGGATTTATTTTATATAAGGGATTAGTCACGGATTTAGTCACGGTTATTTCCGTGACTAAACCCTTCGTAATCCCCGAATCCAGCCACGCAGTGTCAGGGCCGCCATTGACCGGGTTAGTCACGGACAAATCCGTGACTAAATTCAAAATTTGAATTTAGTCACGGATTTAGTCACGGATTTATCCGTGACTAACCTGGTCAATTTTTTTTTCGAATTTTTTTATGGATATAATATGGAGTAATTTTAAATTTCGAATTATGGAAATTTTAATTTTGAATTTCTAACTTTGAATTATTAAAAGTATATTTTGAATTTATAATATGGATATAAAAAAGTTGTTGTTGTTGAATTAATATGGAGTAATTTTTATTTCACAAATAATAATGATGAAGAAAAAAAATCAAATATTGTTGGAGTAATATACGTAGTAATGATGAAGAAAAGAGCACAAATATTTGGAGTCAAAAATTGAAATTACAACAACACAATTACTAGCTGTCAGAATCGTTATTTTCTACATATACAACGTCTTCTTCTGTATCAGAACCGTCTATCCATTCTCCTTCTTCCTGATATTGAGCAGATTGTTGTTCTTCATACGCAATTCTTGCTCGCTTCAAAATGTGCAAAGTACGTTCTCGAGTGTTCTTCAAACACGTTTTGATCATTTTTTGGGAGCTAAATTATTTTCACAAGCCTTATTGTATATTTGTTGAATTAAGTAACACATTTTCTTCATAATATGTGGAGACTAATTTCATGAAGGGAATATCACCCCTCTAAAATTTAACCAGGCAAGTACTCCATAAAATTACTTTTAAATATAAACAATATATACATATTTTGAAACAAACACCACACATTAGTCATTTCTCGAATCGTGCAATGCGTGTGTGACAAACTAGTAACTATTATATAAGTGTGCTTAATTAGTTATCGAATACTACGTACATAAGTTTGAATCTAAACTATAAGTCTATATACGAAGTATAACCCATATAATAATAATAATGTATAAACAATGATATGGTTAACTAATTTAGTAATTTACCTGGAACTAAATATCTCATCAACTCTAAGTATTCCCTGTCGAAATTCAGAGCTCATTTGATAGCACAAAAATTGGCTGATTCTGCTAAAATTTATGAAGTTCTGGCTGAAGTGGCTACATTGGTTGATTCTTCTGGTTAAAGAAAAAAATATTTTTAAAATATACGAAGTATTTTATTAATAAAATAAAGAAAAAATTATATGTAAAAATAGCTAAAATGGTCATCTACAGTAACATCGGGCAATACAACGGAAAAGTAATTCCAACCTTTCGTTTTCTGCTTATTACACAATTCAGACAGCCTTTCATTATGTTATTCCTAGGCCACGTACATTTCTCGATTTAAAAAAGTTTGCATTTAGCTTTCTTTACATTTACATTCTTCACAATTAAATAATGATTTAACATTTAACTTTGTTAACTCACCACTACTGTCTCATTACATTTACTATTATTGTTCATATGGAACTTCAAATCCCTCTATTGCCTTAATTACGACATGCTTATTATCGAATAACGATAATATCAAGAGCTCGTTATACTTCACATAAAAACGATATGTGTCCCATTAATATCTTGTTCCTGAATGGATCTTAAATGTTAAACACCGATTAGTCACGGATTTAAGTAAATAACACTACAAAAAAATTCGGCTGTAGTCACGGATTTAGTCACGGACCACAGTGTAAAAAATCCGTGACTAACTCATTTAGTCACGGATTCTGTCTATATATATATATATATATATATATATATATACACACACACACACACACACACACACACACACACACACACATTTGAATTAACTTATACTTAAATTTAACTAATATTATTAAAAAAATTAAGTAATTTAACACTACATTTAAATTAATCCTACGTTTAACTAATTTTAACTAATTCAATTCGTTAATTAATTACCAACCTTTTTTCTACACATTACAATTAACTAGTATATTTAAATTTAACTAATATTATCAAAAGCTACACTAACTTAACTAATTAATTTAACTAATTTTACTTAATTTAACTTAATGCATCACTACGTTTAAAACTACGCTTAGCTAACCAATTTTAAATTGAATCAACTAATTCTAAATAAAAAGAATTCAAATAACATACCTTATTAATAAACAGGGAAAATGACATAAGATGGACTACATCCTTCGATCTTTCAAACAGATACTGTATTATATATACATGGAATGAATTGGTGTGAACTGTATTATATATACATGGAATGAATTGGTGTGAACTGTATTATATATACATGGAATGAATTGGTGTGAACTGTATTATATATACATGGAATGAATTGGTGTGGTTCAGTTATATAAAAAACCTAGTCACGGACCTAGTCACGGAATTTTCCGTGACTAAATTAATTTTGAGCGCTGGAAATTTAATTTTTTTTAGTCACGGACGTAGTCACGGATAAATCCGTGACTAAGTCGCCGGAATAAAAACGGGCTTACCGGCGACGGAGTTGGGGCAACCGGAGGACTTTAGTCACGGTTCGTAGTCACGGATTTATGTAGTCACGGACTTAGTCACGGCCAAATCCGTGACTAATTTTTTTTTTCAAAAATCCGTGACTAGTCCGTGACTAGCCCGTGACTAGGCTAGTCACGGACGAAATCCGTGACTAACGTCCGTGACTAAAGGCGTGTTTTTTTGTAGTGGCTGCTTCCTTACTCTCATACTCCATCCCTAACTTTAAAATCTTCCCATTTCAAAAGTATGTAGATTAAGAATAGTGAAAGATGATATGAATTATTGAGGGTATGATGAGAAAATAATAGAATAATTTGGTGGAATGTAGGATAAATACAAAAAAAGTAGTTGTAATAGTGTATTATTTTAAAAATTATTGGGGGTAT